AATCTACTGACGGAGAACATTCAGAATTATTTTTATCGACTTGAAATCCTAATGATGGATAATAACATTTGTTTCTTTCAGGCTCCTCTTTCGGTATCAATTTCATCCATCGCCTAACTCTGATTGGGCGCGGAATGAGTGCAATACGAAAAAAAGCTAAGTGGTCAAAATAAAATCTCTTCTGCAGCAGACCGTGCAGGGTTGGATGCAGCCTGCGTTAACGCCCCCGCCATCCACCCTTCGTGGATCCATTTCGCCGCTAACCCATTCGTCCCTGTTGCAGCCCTGCCACTCCTGCCAGCCGCCCCCGTCGGTGCCGCCGCATCTTTCGCGTGCTCCCGCTGCACGCGAGTCTACCGTCATCGACACAATCTACTGCGTCATCTGAAACTGGAATGCGGGCAACCCCCGCGCTTGCAGTGCCCACTGTGTTCTCACCGAACGAAACACAAGAGCAGCTTGCAGCGTCACCTTGCTAATTGCCACCGGGTCCTGCCCAGCGGAGGTCCTGCGGCCGTGTCGCCGGCTTTCAATCCACATGTCCACCCCTCATAATCTGTCATCGCTCCGACGAGCGTTAATGCTGAAGACGTTTTCTTTCAGCAATCTCGACTTATGGATTTCAAACGCCACGATCATTTAAAGCAATTCAACAATACATTGCAATTCTCTTTTTTTTTCTTTTTTGCAATTTTTATCAGTTTTTAAGGATCGTTTATTAGATAGCAACGAAGCTTTGGGCATATGCTATTTTTTTTATTGCATTCTGCTATGAGGAACGTAACATTGCGCAGAATTGTGAGACGGGAGGTTATCAGATATAAAAGTGCATCATATTTTTAGGCATCCCGTCATGGAAGACGGTCGATTAATTGATTCGCTTCCACTGAAGGCTGTCAGGCGGATGATATGGTGAGTGAGAGCAGGTGTACGTGAGTGTACAAATGCCAAAGTTAGTGAAAATGCCGATCGAGTCGCTAGTGTTCGTTGTACCAACATCCAAAACTTTACAATTTCCAGTGCTAACAACATAAACAGCATGGCTTGTAGCCAGAGTCGGACGATGCAATGCAAGTGTACATCGGCGTCGTAGTGAAAAACAATGAAATATCGGGCTAAGGAATGCGTTTGGTGAGTGAATAAATGCTCTTTTTCGAGTGAAAGGAATAAATCCTTTTTATCAGACAGCTGATGTGGTATGTATATGCAACGTATTATTTCACCATATCCAGAAATCATTGATAATTTATAGAAAACATCACAAAAACATTTTTTCTACTCTTGGTTTTAATTATTCCCTTTTGTTGCAAGCAATTTATTTTCTCATTTTATTCATGCTTGTTCTAATTGTCATTGGTCAGTTGCAGAATAATTTTTCAATCTTACACCTTTTCTCTCCTCAGAACTTCTATTTGTCACACGATTCCATTTATTTCCTTTGCTTTAATTTATTGGAAAACGTACCTAACTTTTAAGGAAGTTATATTTTATAATTGATGTCAAATGATATATCTTCATTAAGTCAGTTGAATATAGTGTTATTGCTTTTTTTTTTTTTAAGGATAGAACAATACATTGCTTTGATGTCCTGCATTTATTTTCTCTTGACACTGTTATAAACCTAACGCTTTTGACATGCTTGTTTCTTATGATTGTAGTTTGTTGGTAGTAGCCCTATGTGGGTGGTAATTTACAGGAAATCAAAATGAACATGCTTTTTCTTAGAAACAATGTATTTACCTTTTTTTGTTTGTATATCAAGTTACGTAGTTTAGTAATAAAATACACTTTCCCTTGAAAATAACTTGAGATTTCAGTATTGTGAGAAAATAGTATAGTGTGTTTTATGCAGCAAAATGTACATTAATGTATGGATTTTAAAGAACATCCATTTCAGGTTATGTTGAGTTTGTCCGTTAATTTTGTAAATGAAAAATTTCAAACTTAGCAAATAAAGTTTACAGAATTCATGGTCTATAAAACAAGTGTCATTGTGATGTATTGCATTCCATGCCAGGAGTGGTAATTTTTGTTAAATTTATAGATTAGAAATTCAAGTTTTGTGACATCAATCTACACTCTTTTGGGATTATTCCCCTTTGCTTATTGGTTCTATTACCCATGTCAATGGCAGTATAAATGTGTCGTATTTGTGACTGTGGACTTACTATTTATAATTGAGTAATGTTTACATCCTACTATAAATATTTGTTTTTTCTTTTCTTATTCCTTCTTTTTTTCTTCTTCAAATATTTAATCTAAATTTCAGGGACTACTAGCAATTTCATGCTGTTCTTCAAAGTTTGGCATAATGTGTAAGTTTTTGGAATTTGAAATTAAACAATTTGTATTCCTTCAAATAGCTGCATGTGTGTTTATAATAAAATTTTTGTTTTTTACCTAATTTAAAAATGAACTTTTATGTTCATTTTATGAGCGTAGTTCATTACTTCATTTCCTTTATGCTAATATGTTTTGAAAATTCTTGAAAGCTTTCTTTTAAGAATGGGATCTGAACCCTATTCTTCAAAGAATTGTTTTACAAAAGTGTATAATGTAGTAAAACTTATTAAAATTATAAATCCTCTATGTTAAAATATTTTGAAAGATAGATTATACGTTTTTATTCCATTATATTATTAAGGCATGCTGATTTTCATTTCACTCATATGGTTCAATTTGCTGATCAAAATAGGAATCATTGAAATTCAGATTATAATTATGATTGTTCTCTGGAGTAATATCATTTGCGATTAGAAAATATAAGCTTTATGTTTAACCAATGCAAAGAACAAAATGTGTAGAAATTGGTGATTTTATGTTTTGGGAATATTTGTGTGTAAATTGTGTATTTAATAGATTTTGTTTGTTTAAGAAATAAGAAAGTTAAATAGTCTTTAGTAAGCATTTCATATTGTTCAAATGTAATATTGTCTCCAAATCAAGTTCTTAACTGCATTTGAATTTGGTAAATGCAAATTATGTATCTAAATGAGCTGAATGATTATATATTGATGCTTTAGATATTTTTAAATTTACATTACAACACTTTTATTTAGTGAAGATATCTTTTCTAGGAAATTTAAAAATTAAAAATGTTTATTTGCTTTTCTGTTTACGTTTTACTTTTAATAAGGTCACTGTGATTACAAATCTGTAACATGCCACTGTGATTCTTATATGTGTGTATGTATGTATGTGTATAAATATACAGACATACATGATACCTTAAAGTCTGTGGACTTAAGATTTATGTTACTGTTCATCTTTAATTTGATGTTCAATCTTCATTAATCACATTTTAAATACAAGTCTGGTAAAAAACGCAACATTTAATTTTAGTAAGTTTTACAAAGTAGTTTTCACAGTTTCTCACAAAGTAAAATTTTATGATTATAAATAATTCAATTTATTAGATACAAATGAGGTCATTTGGGTTTTATTCGTATCAGAAAATTTTAAATCTACCAAGAGTTAAAGAATGTTGAATTTAAAAGAAAGAAAAATGGGACCTTTTAGAAACTAAGCGGAGTATTGGAATGAAATTGATTGTAACTCAGGAAATAGTGGAAGATGAAGAGAGTATAATTAATTGAGACATGCTGGTTGTTGAGTGTTTTGAGAAACAATTCTTGTCAGGTATTTCTTTTCTATTTGACCATTTATTTACACAACCGGATAGCTGAGAAAATAGTATCCATGCAAGCACCTGTCCGCTGAGAAATTAATAAAAGTGTTTTGAATTAACAGAAATGTAATCCCTCTATGTTATCTCCAGTGCATTCTGTTTCTATTTCATTCTATTTTGTTCTTCGTGGTATTATGAAATTTCTATTTTGAATATCATCACAGTTTTTGTAATATTCTTATTCTACTCAAGAATGACTAACTACTCTGAAGACAACATAGGTGACCTTACTTTAGAGATGATGGTATATCACGATGAAGGGAGTAATGGATATACAAATGTAGAAGTGATTGTTTGTGAGTGATAAGTCTTTGTTCCATTTCGCTGTAGGTCCATCAAGCTTTGCATTTGAGTGCTAAACTATGTGTATTGATAGCAAAGGTTCGAAATCGGCAAGAATCGTCGTAAAGGCTTCTACGTTGTTCGCACTGATCTCGCCGAAGATCATTTCGATCGAAACCCACGAACGACGTTCTCTGTGTAAAGATTCCCTTGAGAAAGGCGAGGGTCGCGGAAGGGAGGCGGTCCCTGACGCCGGCGCCTTCTGTTGCAGGGGGCCTGCCCGCACGGCTTCCGCTGCCGCCCCCCGGCGCCGGCCACTTCCTGTGCACGCGCTGCGGCCGCGTCTACCGCCACCGCCACAACCTGCTGCGCCACTTGAAGCTGGAATGCGGCAAGGAGCCCCAGTACCTGTGCACGCTTTGCGGCTACCGCACCAAGCGCAAGAGCAGCCTGCAGCGCCACGTGGGCTCGTGCCACCGAGTGGCGCCTCCGGGGCTGGGGGCCACGGGCGCGCTGGCGCCTGCCCCCGGGCTCCCGCGCCGCTGACGCTCCTCGTGTGTCCGCAGGCCCCGCGCCGCCCCGCGCCCTCTTCGCGACGCCCCACGACGCCCGGTTCCTGCCTCCCGCGTTCGGCTGCGGGCGCTGCGGCCGCCACTACAGCAACAAGTACAACCTGCTGCGCCACGTGAAGCTGGAGTGCGGCAAGGAGCCGCAGTGCCGGTGCCCCATGTGCAACTACCGCTCGCACCAGCCCACCAACCTCCAGCGTCACATCCGCCTCCGGCACTCGGCGCCGCGTGCCCCGCCGCCGCCCCTCGCCCAGCACGCCCCGCCCCCGCCGTCCTTCCCGACGCCTTCGCCCTCGCACCCGGAGATGTGCCCGCCCGCCTCCTTTGGGGCCCAGAACCCCCCGCCCGCGCCGCTTCTCTGAAGACGCTCCTTCTAGTCGGCCAACGGCGACGCATCCTCCGGAAAGAGCATGACGGACGTTAAACTTCTGCCAGTTTTGTGAGAATTGTACCGAGCAGAGATGATCGCTCGCGCCTGTGCTGTGTGTATCGCCTCGCGATGCCATTAAAAACATAAGGCCCCCGGCCTCACGCAACCTGAGAGTACGCGAGTTATTTGCTTTCAACCCGACCCGCTCCGCCTCTTCCTCGTTCCCGTCGTTCGGCTCGGCCGCCCGGCCCGGCCCGGCGGCGGCCGGAGCCTCCCCTAACGCGCGTTTTGTTGCAGGTGCGGGGGCGGGCCCGGACGGGCTGCACGCGTGCCCGGTGTGCGCGCGCCGCTACAAGCACCGCGAGAACCTGCTGCGGCACCAGCGGCTGCAGTGCGGGTGCGCGCCGCCGCGCTTCCAGTGCGCCATGTGCCCCTACCGCGCGCGCCGCAGCGACAACCTGCTGCGCCACGTGCGCACCGTGCACCAGCGGCCGCCCGTGCTGGCGCTGCTGGGCGAGCCGCCGGCCGAGGACGCGCCCGACACCAAGCCGGCGCTCGCGGACCTCAAGCTGGGAGGGCTCTAGCGCCGGGGGCGGGGACGGCGGCGACGCGGCCGCCGCCGGACGCGGCGCGCCGAGCGATGGCGGAGACGATCGTTTCGGGCTAGCGCCTCGCGGGAAAGGAGCGATCGGCCGGCGCGGCAGGAAGGGAGGGCGGCCCCCCGGCGAGCGTACACGACACGCCGCCCGTAGGAAACCCCGGGGGGCGACGGCGCCCGCTGAAACCGCCGCGCCCCGGTGTGTGCTGTCTTGCGAGGCTGGCGCGTCGGGCGGCGACGCCTTACACGCAACAGCCCTATCCTCCCTGCCGTCGCGGAGGGCAAACCACCCACAGTGCTGTTCCAGTGTTGCGATTCTGCAAGGCCACAGACCTACCTCACAGTCGCAACCCTTTTTACGCATACATGAATAGCCTGCGAAAATGCGGCAAAGAGGAGCGCAGTTCCAGTGCCTCTGCACTGCCCGTACCGCAAGCGCTGTCGCGCAACACGACTTGATCGCGTTACACAAGAAGAACGCAGCCACGCGCGGACCCCGGCTGCCGAGACGAGGGCGGGGCGGGCGCGGGGCTGGGCCTCCGCCCTGGCGGCCTTACCCCCGTCCCTGCGACTCGCTCTCGGACGCGACTCAGTTGACGCGCGCGCGGGGCGCGACCGTCCGCAGCCTCGCGCCGCAAGTTTTTGTGCCGCCTAGCGCCGCGGCCGCCGGCCGGTGCCTCGCGGCCCCGCACGTCCCGCCCGCGCCCGCGTCTCGGCCTCGCTCCCACGCGCGCGACTGCGCTCGTCCCCCGCACCCGCTGCCCACAGACGATCGCCCTCCTGCACTGCCGGCCGGCTGGCCGACGAGTTCGACGATGCGCCAGCACCGATAATTGTGAAACCATACGTGATATTTGTCTTTTACAAAGAAATTCTAAGTCTCTAAACGAGCAACGAGTGATAGAAGGGCAACACGCACCGCGTGGTCGCGACCGCAAGCGCCCACGGGCCGTCGCGGAGCGGCCTTTCCCGGCCGTCGCCGCTTGCAGCCGCCCCCAGTCCAGGCAGTCAGTCAGTCCCCCGCGGCCGCGGCGGCGAGACGCCGCCCCGCCCCACGCCTCGAGCTGCGCAGCCGCCCTCCACGCCTCGCACCCTCGCACCGCCTGCGCCGCGCCGCCCCCGCCACGCGCGCGCGCGCGCTGGCGCGGATACTGTACCGCTCTGCGCACCAAATACACGAGTTTGATACGCTGTTGTTGTTTGAATGGCCCCCTTCCCCGATCTCCTCCTACTCCTCACGTGTCTTTTTCTCCCCGCAGGCTCCGCGCTGACGCCTCCACTTTGTCTTCCAGGCGCGTGGACGGCGTGGACGACGCGGACGGGGCCCTCGTTCGTCTGCCCGGACTGCGGCCACGCGTATCGCTTTAAGACGTCGCTTCGGCGACACATGCGCTTTGAGTGCGGGCGGGAGCCGCAGTTTGAGTGTCAAGTCTGCTCGCAACGGTTCACGCAGAAGTGCAGCCTGAAGAAGCACATGCTAAAATTTCATCCGCCGGTCGTTGATCCTCTTAATGTCGTACCTTTTGGTTCTCTGTGAAGAATCTTCAGCATGCCTGTGCCTCATTGGTTCTTGGGTTCATGGATAAATAAGCAACTGTTTGCATATTTTCATTTTGCTCTGTACTGAGTGCTGTGGACTGGTGGCTGTACATTTCTTGCACCAATTGGCAATAGTGGCCTGAGTTTTCTGTCAGTTTTGATTTGATAATAAAGGCAATATATAATTCCGTACAAGTCAGCATTATCAAATAATCTTTCAAATGGGATGGTGTTTTGCTACAGCCTCTTGAGAACTGTTATTCTTTATTCCATAGGGATTCTGGGGACTCTTGTGATACTTTACAGTACTAATAACATTGGTATATTACATAATAAAATTCAAAACAAATTTCTTTCTGGTTCAACAATTTTAACTCTTGACTTCCTTTCCCACTCTTGGATTATTGCCATTCTCCCAAGTCTCATTACTAGATGCTGAATTTCGTTCCATGCCCACCACAAGACTCTGGTGGAATGGGCTGCACTGATGAATTATCTGCTGACTAACTTCCTCTGCTACAGAGATTCCTCCACACCATTTGCTGACGATGCTGGGACAGCGGCGGCAGCGACGTCCGTCATTAACAGGAGTATCTGCAGGTGCTGGCTTCACCTGTCCTTTCTGTGCCCGCATCTACCGGTATCGACGTGGGCTCGCTCAACATCTTCGGTTAGAGTGTGGCAAGGAGCCTCAGTTCCAGTGCCCTTTCTGTGCCCGGCGCTTCACACAAAAGGGTAGTATGAAGAAACATCTTAGCAGTCAACATGGCATTGTTGAAATGCATCATGACTCTGTTGACCCTTTAATCGATCCTCTGACACTCTGCCCTACTTTGCTCTAATAAATAATATATTTATTAGATGTTGTCCTATCATTTCTTAATACAAACATCTGGGAGGCTGCTATGGGGAGGTAAACCAGCCCAAAAATGGGTTTTAAATCATAACTTATTACTATATTTTTTAATTGAAAATGTTTTAAGGATTCTGAGAAAATTAAATAATATACGCATGGAACCTGTGCCAAATTGAAAACAATAGAAAATACTAAAGCTGGCTGACTTTGCTGGGGAAAACAATACATCTCTTCCTGGCAACTTCTTGTGACTTGTTCTAGTCCTTCTTTCCTTATAATTCTATTCTCATGGATATATTATGATCAGAAGCGAATCCAAGAAATTCATCTAATGTTCTATTTATTTCAGTGTGATTTTAGTGAAAAATTTTGTTACATTTTCTACAGTATTTAACATTTCATCATTCATTTGACTGTGGTTAATATAGGTGATTTTGAAAATAGTTCATAGTAAGTGTTCTTAAAAGTGAAAGAGGTTGGATGAGGAAATAATTAATATATTATCTGAAGCTATTTGTTAACATCTACAATCTTTTATTATGTTGAAAAGTGAGGTTATGTTGATAAGCATTCGGGAGCAGGGAAGGGTAAGAAGGAAAAGTCAGGAGGTGGGGAAGAAGGGAAAACCTACTTTAATATGCAAATTTTTGAACCAGCATTTAATCAATGGATTCAACTATGACAGGGCTCGGCAACCTTTTTGTAACTGTGGGTCACATTGTCAAACCCTCAATAGCTTGTGGGCTGCATATGTCTCCAACTTACTTTTCATTCAACAAATTTAAAATATTAAGTTGCATTTCAATAATTTTGTTAGTACTATTTTAAAATAAGCTTGGGATATAGGCACAATAATATTTTATTTTTGATAGTTAATTTTTCAGTAGACCAGAAGTGGGCCTTCAGGCTACACAAAATAGGTTTTACAGGTTGGCAATCCCCTGAAATATGACATTACATGGCAGTTTTTTGTAGTAAAGCAGTTGTGAATTGGAAGATTTAATACAAGTTTGAAATTAATATTTTTCTTTGAATTAATTTAAGTAAATTTTTATTTTAATTTTTCAATGTTTTTGGTTGATCATCCTTGCAACATCTCTCTTAACTCCAACAAGAAAAGTAATGTAATCTTTTGTGTAATTTTTGAAAGTTCAAAGGTCTTCATGAAAGTAACATTTCTGTCATATGATTGAATTTTTAATTATTTCTACATAAATTATAAAGAAAATTGTAGAGCCATTTCAGGGAAAATCATAACGTATTTTGAAAAATTGACAAGATTTTATTAAAAATTATCCAAAATTACTAATTTGTTCAATGAACGGAACTTAAAATCATTTAAAATGTTAATATCGTTGAATAAATTGCATTAACCTTTCAATATGAAGCTCAGGTTGGGTGTGATAGTATCTCAACACATTTGTTGGGTGAAGTTGTGTGCAGCAGCACTGTGGCAACTTGGAGCACTGCTATTACGATCTTCCACCTTGCATGGTAACCTGACATTCAGAGGAAAAATTCCTAACGCCTTGGTATGGTGCCCTGGGTTGAAGTGTAACGAAAGTGCAATTTGAAGAAGGTATTCCACTTTGAAAGAACAAGTCTCTAGTTTCAATAATGAAAGTTTAGGATAAATTTGAAAAATACTTGAACTTGGCAATTTTTAAAAATTTTTATATTTTAATGAAAAATTGACTCTCGCAAATGTAGAAGTGCAGTTTTATCTATCACAGCAAAAAAATGAGAAAGAAAAATTTTGGAGTTGTTTTTGGAAACATTTCTAGTGTTCTAAAATTCATTGGGGTTTTTTATAAAGTGTATCCATAAATTAAAAAATAATTTCAAATTCACAAGGGCCTTGAGATTAATTGATAATTAGCCGTTTTCGAGAAAATCAAGTTCTAGGTTTAGCTGCTAGTGTGGTCAAGGTGCTGAAAATCATTTAAATCAGGGTACTTGTGCAAAACTTATGGGTGGCAGGTCATTAAAAAAATACACACAATGCATTACATAACCTCCTCCTTTCAAAGTTGATTATAAAAGGCTGAATCAGAACTCACTGTCGTTGAAATCTTGGAAATCTAGGTTGCTTCATGTAGTGAAGAAGAATCCAAACCTCAAAAACTGAGAAACTATATTGGAGATTGCATACTTGACCAGGTATACGGTGCATGTGCAGGTTATGGTGCTTGTGAAGATCTTAGTTGAGAGAAGTTACAGCTGATTTTAAATATTCTTTTTTTTTTTGAACAAGGAGACTATTGTAATAAAAGTTTGATCTTAGCTTGTGTGCGGATTATAAACATAACCGTTCTGGAGTAGACTTCTATATGGGTTTCTGTTTAAAGAGCCTGGAAGAAACAGATGCAAAGAAGTTATTTTAAGGGCTTGGATTCAGGACGTATGGCAATACAGTTCTGTGAAAGAAAAGAAAGACGGGACCTTTATGGAAGTCATTTATCAGCATCTGTGAATCGGTTTCAAGACAAAGATTTATGGCACAAAATAAGTATAATCTGTAAGAGAAAACTGCCCCTCTCAAAGGTTGTATTTCCCTGTCAAGGAAGATTAGAGGAAAACATGAAGTTGGATTTAGAAGTGCAAGAATATGAAACCAAAGACAATGTTGATTTAATGTGATATTAAATGCAAATATTTTATACAAATTAATACTTTCATGTTTGTGTATATTTAATATGTTTAGTGTGATAGTAAAGTGTTTTAACAACCAACACCGTTGTACATGCTATATTGCAATAGAATGGTTGCGCCCAGCCTTAACTAAAGGTTATTTTAAATGTTTCATACTAATTTTTCTTTTACATGAGGTGAGTATCATTTTTATTTAAAACTTTGATCAAAATACATTGTATTTACTGTATAACAATGGTTGTTATCAATTGTCTTTTCACTCCAGGGATTGATTGAAGATCCTTTTTTGGGCTACCTTTGGCAATATCTTTCTGATATAGTGATGTTTCACTATCAACTATAGAGGCTTAGATTCATTTCCAGACACCAACTTTCGACTTTATTGAGGTAGGTTTTAGAAGGCAGGTTACAGAAATTTAAGTTAGATTAAAATATAATTCATAATCAGTTCATAAATTGTATGTATTGAATAAATAATATGAAATATGTATTGAAGTTTTGAAGGGACTATTGATTAATGAACAATGTTTACAATTTTGTGAACAAGGTAAATGAAGGATACAATTATATATTATGAATGTATTTGATGTGATTTCATTGAGCTGTTGGAAGATATTTTCATTAATATCACATCTTGAAAGTAAATTAACTATCATTAAGAGTTCCTTTTATTGTTGTCGAGTTCAAAACTGAATCTGTTGAATCTGCAAGAACTCTCCAATTTGCTGTTGGATATTGTAGTTTTGAGATCCTTCATATATTTTATGGATCTCATGGTGCTCCTCGAATATCATCCTAGGTATACTCTTATAAAGTTTTTTCTGTAGGCTGTATGCCACTTAGAAGAATATTGAACTGTAAAGAACTTCATGACTGTTTCAGGAGTATTATTGGTCTGCAAATAGCTTTGTAATGATGTTGGTATTGCTAAAAGAATGTGTTAAAATTTTGGAAGATTTTATTTCTGCTGAATATCTGCAATTGTAATGTGTTTCCTCTTCTGTTCTTGTCAGTAATTGCTAGTTATTGTTAATTTGGTAGTGTTATATACCATGTTTTATTATCTACATGTAGTTGTAGGTTTGATTCATAGACTTTATTTTTCTAGTAATAGGTATATTGTTAGGAAAAATTGATTTTTTTCAGCAGTAAAGTTGATAAACCATTATTATACTTACACTCATTGTAGAAGTATTACTAGAAGTAGAAGTATTACAATTAATCATTTACATTAGTCAGACATTTCATCATACTTTGTTTCATCTAGTAAAACATTAATATAACTCCTTTTGGGAGTGTTTGCGGTAGGTTTGACAGCGTTGGGTTTTGGATGTGCAGCAAGTAATACATCTTCTTGATTTAATTACATACTTAAAAGGAGGATCTCATAATGAATTTTCAGATATCCACAAATCAAGGTAAGAGATTTCGTACTAGTTTCTGATCTGCTCTGCTATTGTATCAAATGGTCATTGTCTTTTATATATTTAATTGTTTATGTCCTGAAGTGAGATGTGTTTAAGTTATAATAAATGTTATTATTGATTGTGATGTGATGAATTACATATATTGAGTTTGAGTCCAAAAGACTTATTTTAGCAAAAATTATTTCTTTGTTGTATACTTATCGATACATAATTTGCATGCTAAACTTTCTTGTTATACAAATACTTATGTTTAATGTGGAGATGTTGATTGAATTTTTTATGTAGTTTCATTGGATAATTAGTAGCTTTCTTAAGCTCTTAATTATATATGAATACATTTTTACTATTTTATTTACATGGTGTACTTTGCAAGAACCATCTTTTATATTATTATTCATTATTTTCATTGATATTTTTAAGCATATAATCCAATGTATCGAAAATATTGAAATTTGCATATGTTCATGTTAAAGTAATATAAACATGACCAGCTCACTTGAGGGCAAAATCACAGTGTTGACTGTTCAGGCAGAAGGCTTAATGGCGTTTGATTATGCAGTAAATAAATTCTCCGGTGTACAATTTTTTGTGTAGATATTGTGCGTAGTTACTTACGATGTCTCAGTGTATCCCCACAAGGTAAGTGTATTTTTTTGTTTTCTACTAGCGATTAAATGCCTTCTTTATCGTTGGTTTTCTTAATAATATTCAATATTTTTCTTTTATTTCTTATGTTTTACTTCATTGCTTTCTTTATGGAACAATGAACATGTTTTTGAATATCTGCTTGTTAGAGCCACAACACAATTTTGTGAACAACTCTGAATAACTAACTTAAAGTACTTCGGAAGTTCTCTAATATTCCTCTAATAATACTCCCTTAGGAGATATGAATTAACAGTTGTTATTATGAATTGTGAAGTAATAGTGGCGATTTACCTCTGCCATCCGTATCGTAAGGCAAATGGATTTTGCAGAAAATTTAAACTCGCTACATGTGGTTTGGTGGGTTGTGCCTGCTTCTTCACAAGTGTACTTCAATATGTCGCTTGGATATCTTTATTTGATTCTTTTGTGTTTTTTGGTAATTTTGATATTGCAACCTTGTTAAATGATATTTTTAAGGAAACTGTGATATGCCATTTTTGTTAGTGAATAAGTATTGCTATGTGTGGAGAGTATCAGTCTCCCAACATACTTGTTTTCCTGTTTGAAATTTGTGATATTCATTTCAGTGCCAAATTCTTTTACATGTAGTGTTATGCCAATAACTCAAGTAGCGACATTGGTAGTTAGTGGGCTATGCATCCATCCAGCAAATTCCAAGGTACTTGTACTGAATTTCCAATATAAAGGCTAAATATTTGTTTTTGACTTCTCTCATCAGTAATGTACTTTTATGTTGAGAAAGTGCCTGTCTCCTTGTGTATTTTAATGTTCGTTGGAAACAAATTTGATATTTTAAACAGATTTCACATATGTAATATAAGCATTTTTAAATATTATTACTATGTTCTGTTCGTATGTGTGTGTATATGTATATGTGTGTGTGTGTGTGTATATATATACATATACACACACACACATACATACACGCCACGCTTTTGCAATATTAAATTTAACGTTCGAAAACTTTTTTTAAAATCAGAGTTTAATGCAGCCGAGAATGAATAAAGACGTTGGGTGTGCTGTTTTGTTGTTGGTTCGCTCCTTCCTCTTGGCCCCCCTTCCGCCGCTGGCTGGCCGCCGCCGGGCGCAGCGGCTGACGCGCAGCGCGTGGTTGCAGGGCCGCAG